GTTGGTACAAATCTCCAAAACCAGTATAGCGGTGGATCTAGAGAAGATGACAAGGATTATGGAGTTATCTTTTACGGCTACTTTGATCAAGTTGAGGCGTAGGTATTGATATGGTATGGTAGAGTATTATCTAAGGTTCATCTTGTACTTCTCCAACAAAATTTATGTATTGACGAGCTACATGAAGAAGTGATGAAGAACAAGTTCATTTTCAAGGATGAAGAAGCAAACTTGACCTTTGAGATTCTCAAGCAAGCGTTAATGACGGCTTCAATTTTGACAAAACTCAATTGGAATTGATCCTTTTTTTTTCATAGTAATGCATCTAATATTGTTGTAGTATGCATCCTTTATTTAATTTAATGATGAAAAGCATGATCATCCAATTGTGCATACTAGTAAATAGATTGCACGAGCGAAGAAAAAATATTTAGTTACAGATCGTGAGGTTTTAACGATAATCTTCTCACTTAATAAGTTTTGACATTATTTGTTGGATAGAAGATATACTATAGTGACTAACCACAAAACTTTGAAATATAATATCAACAAGGCTAATGTTGAGGGAAGAATAACTAGATTTAAGCTAATTCTCGCCGATTTTGATTACACTATTGAGTATCAACCTTGCAAGAAGCATGCTAATGCTGACTTGATGTTTCAAGCATATGATGAGGAAGTAGATTAATCAATTGATGATACCTTTCCAATTAGACAATTTCAATCTCAACAGCATGTCAAGATCCATTGACTTCAATTGCATCTAGACTTTTCTCTATCAAAGCACATAGTCACCACGTCTATTGTAATTGACAATGTCATAACCTCCTCTTTCATCATTATATATTGAAATCTCAATCCGACAAATGCAAGAAGTTGTGGCAAGAAAAGTAAAATGTTCAGTGACGTGTGATTATTTTTCACTCATACATCGTCTCCCCAAAAGATTTTAAACTATTCCTAGCTCCTATGAGAAATTATTCAATTAATAATTTTCATGATCAACGACAGCGATTAACGATTAAAGTCAGCAACAATCAACGTCCTTACGTCTCCATCTGACTTCGTCAGACTCCGTCCGATTTTAGGTTCAACAAGGTTAGTTAGATTCAGAATATGTTTGAAAGATTTGAAGGTTCGTAAGTTTGGAATAGATTCAGCAAGATTCAATAGGTTATCATATGTTTGGCATGAGCATCAGGTTTTGAACAGATTTGGATGCCGGTTTGATAGTCGCGTGAAACTAAATCTGAAGCAAGAAAATTTCAAAATTTAATTGATCCTTCAGACATCCGTCATATGTTGTTTGTCCGCGCCGCATGTACTTCACGCATCCGTTTGGCATATTTTTGCGGAGCCTTGCATCTTCCACTTCATTCTTTGGAGTGAAATTTTAAAAACTCACGGTACAAAAGAAAATCTATCAAAAAAATTGTTGATGAATTTCAAAACTTGACTATGCAAGATGTATATCAAACAACCTCAACTATTCTGTTGAGATGTTGTTGTAACTCAAAATTATAACCATGGAATTGCATACAAAAATTGATCTAATCTCTAGATCAAATTTGTATGATGTTATTAGAGATACATACATATGCTATACATTTTGACTAATAGTGTATGAAAGCTATCAATCATCTAGGAAGAGATTTGTTTGATAGATTGCAAGAAGTATAAGCTGACTTTGACGCGTAAACTGCTAGAGCTAAATTAATGTCATGTGAATGGCATGGGTAAAATTTTAGATTTTAAGTGAGAATGTATAAAAAGGTGAAAAAATATGACGCATTTTTCTTTCTATTTTGTAAGTGTTATATTGTCAACAGCAAATGTGCACAATGTAACATGAATGTTATAAGAAGTTATACAAGCAATTTACCTCATCTTGAACTGCAATTGAAAACATTTGAAGCTATTAAAATGATATTGCAATATGATAGAATGATATTCTTCTTATAAAAAACATTTCTAGAGGCGTATCACCTTATTTCGATATGTAAAATCAGTATATCAACTAAATCAACAGATTTTTGTACATATAATTGAAATTATTATATTCAAACTTTTGATTGAATGCATAGATATGTGAATTCATCCTCATAAATTTATCAACTTGTGCATTTTGGACTGTGATGACCCATAGCTAATAAAGAATCATATATCGCTTTGAATCTATAGATTTTGCGTTGATATACTCCATCATCTTGCAAATTACCTCTTGATTGATTATTTTTGGACAAAATCATGGATTTACTATCTTGCTGGTACATACAGGTCAAACTTTGTGCTTTAAATACATACAAAAAGTAACAAAAATCTTATTTGTAAATATTTCAATTGTTCTTTAAGAATAAAATACATCACATCACTACATATCACAAAAAATGAATATATTCAAAAAAATCACTGTATGATTGTTTTAAGTTTTACACAAGCATGTATTTACATTCAATATTTATCTTGTAAAAAATGAAAGAAAAAATTTGTAAAAACTGCTATAGCTACTTAACTAAGATAATGAATATTTATGCAGTTTTTCAAGCTATAATTTTAATCGATTTCAAGCTATAATTCTGCAAGAGAAGTTAAATTTATTGAGATCAAATTTTGATGAATAAATACATTGAAGTTGTTGATTGCAAAAAAGCTTACATTACAGATATCTAAATACTAATAATACTCTTGTGATCATTTCAAATCTTTGACTGTATTATTATTATGTTTCATTAACAAGGTTTTTGTCATTACCATCATGTATAACTCAACATTCAATTTTTCAATCAATTTATTCAAAAAATTTGGAATCTTTGTCACTTTAGATGTTTCATTTTCAACAATTTTCTCCTTAAGAGCTTCAACAATTAACAGTTCATCACTTTAAATATTTGGTATTTTGTTACTTTGTTACTTTGACTATTTAGTATTTTGTTACTTTGAACTTATGCTGATTTGGCGCTTTTGCATTTCGGTTAAGTTCTGTATTTTTCACAATTTGTTGATTTCGCTTTTTGCCATTTGACGATTTGGCAAAACTGAAAGTGCCCAATTTTTTGTGTTCCTCCAAATCACCAAATTTTTGTGTATTTTTCATGTTTGAAATAATTTGTTTTCAGGAAAAAAAATGACAAAAACTTAATTCAAACACAAATTCTTTTCCAGTATTTTTGTTACAAATTTAGCGCAAATTACATAATTTTCCATCAAAATGTATTCATGATAAAAACTCATACGTAATTGTCTGTTACTTTGTTCTATGAACGTGGTGTCACTTTGGTTCATCTCTAAAAGATTGAGATGAATTTGAATGCATTTGAATTCATCTTTTTTAATTTACTAGTCATCTGCTCGTAAAAGTATGTTGCATAAGTCACGTCGAACTTTCCGTTTGTGACTGAAAAGCAATCGGAACAGTATTTCCATGTAAAGATGTACTTTACCTTCTTTCCAAGACTTTTCTTTGTTTGTTTAATGGTCAAAAGTTTAATCGGTTAAATTGCAACCAAAGAAAAACGTGGCAATTATTATCCATAATCTAAAAAAATGGAAACAATGATCTATGTGGAGTATTGAAAAACTAAGAAAAGCAAATGGATTAGTTTTTTTCTTTTGAAAGTATTAGATTATTTTGAGTGAAGAGTTCTTGTTTATGACGTGTGACTAACTAATAACAATGTTAGTATTTTGCTTAAAAAGCATTGATAATAGACTTACTTGAATATACCACTATAAATTCGGTTATAACTTGAATCTTCTGATGAGTTCTTTTCAACCAAATATTATATAACTTACTCAAAGAATTTACCTGCAATTTATTAAGAATGCAGTCATCAAATTTAGTAAGATGTTATTACCACAATTTTATTTCCTTATCTAAAATCTACTGAATTATGCGAAGTTTATTATTAAGAAGACTTTGCTCAATCCTGACAGTGGTAAATCAAAGCTTCAAGAGGTGAAACAAAAAGTGGTTTGTTTAACATTAAGTGTACAATGAAGTGTAGGTAATGTATGGTTGTCAGTAGTTTTGAGTAAAATCCCAAATTAAATTTACATCTAATTTAGTCATTCAATTATCGTTTGAATTTCCAAATCATGTAAATAATCTCTGGTTGATTGTTTACTTTGATCGATTGCATGCTGTAATATAGTCAGCTTACGGTTTCATATAGTCAAACGGTATTTATCCTAGTTTGAAAGGACAGAATAGGAGTTTTCACTTCCTTCAAAGGTATAATTAATTTATTTCAGTAAAACCTATTCATAAGTAACTCATTTACCATTTGGCATAAATGTGCGATCTGGGTTAATGTTTACATGTCTGTGTTTGCGTTTGCGTGTTGATTAATTTGTAATAGACTACACTGCGACTTGGGCTTGACAAATTGCTCTCACTTACAATAATCTGTATATTAGTCGTAGTTTCAATCAAGTTTAGAGACGAAAGCTGCTCTATTTTTATTTTAAAGACGTATGATAATTATGAATCAAAGATGATGGAAAAAACAACAGGTTTTTGATGTTAATTTTTTTAACTAACATTAAAAAAATGGCGACACACCAAAGAAAATTATCTGGCGCTCTATAGTCAATTGAAGGTTCTCACGAACGCTACCAAACATGTGCGTCAGAGGTTCGTGAAACATATAGGCAGACGCAACCATGTAGGTTACAGTTTCACCATACACTTAGGCAGACGCAACTGCGTACACCATGTGATACTTGCTGCTTTCAATAGAGGAAACAACATCGTCATAAAATTTCACTGTCAAATATTTCATCAACTGTTTTAATATTCTTGATGAACGACGTGAGAGTTCAAACAGTGCACGCAATATGAATTTTAGGCTTCGACATTTCTCTTGAAATCCGGCTAGCAGGCCACACGTTTTCTCCACATGTATGTGCACTATCATCTCCTGAACCAATTCCGAGAATAAATGAACGATCCTACCATTCAATATGGGAGGGCAAATCTTCAAATGATCAACTCCACATTTCGACACTTCAAGATACGCTATGTATTTCATCATAATAATAAACTCATTTATCAAGGCTTGTCAGGCACAAATTACAACAATTCATATACAAGAGGTCTTTGTATATCTCTCCAGTCCATGTATGTATCCTCCCTCGGATTTCGGACTCTTATACTAGCTAGCAATCATAAGTCCTAGAACTGACCCACAAAGTAAAGATAACCGCGAAGTCTTCAACCTCCAATGAAAGTGATGAATAGTTCTCAAGGTGGTCAGAGAAGAAACCGAGACCAATGTCAAATTTCACTTGACCTGATGCAAACAACTGTCTTCAAAGGTCCTAATTCCGACCCCTGAAGGCTCCGAAACATATCACTACTAATCATAACCACAACTACTGGGTCAAATCAGCTAATCTACGATCAGGCTTCTCATACAGCCTGACCAGATTATCTTTTGAAACTGCGCTAGCATAACCATCCTTCTATACTGGCAAGCGACTTCTTGATCGCCTGGCCAGGTAGAACCCATTCTTCACGCAGAGTACGAACTAGGTGATTGTAACTTGTTAAATTTACAAGTTAGTCAAAACAGATCATGAGTAAGCTCCGCCTGACGAAAACTCGTAGCGCAACGTGCAGGTAATGTCAGCTGACTACATATGCAAATCAGCATACGCTCAGTAAAAGAGTCAACAGAAGTGTGCTCAATCAAAGTGAGCTCAATTCCAAGTTCATGGAGCAAGAGATTGCCACCATGAAAGAACCATTAATGGCAGTCAGTAAACCAGGACTCAGTAGTCACTGATTGAGATGCATCGAAATTCAGCGTGGCCAAAAATGAGCATCAAAGTGCAACAGTTTATGTTACACTAAGGGGTCAGGTAATGCAAGCCCCTCAAGGCGAAGCAGTGTCAATTGTCGCTGTGAGCAGGAGTTCTTACAACAATGCCCAGTTCTGGACTGCTGAACCTCTTGCTCACACTTCACCATACGTTCTTGGAGGGACGCGCGGTATGTGGCACAGGCAGATTAGTACCATCAGGCAGCAGTTTGTAACCTCCAACCAGATGTGTTGCTTAAACCCGTTAGTTGTGTCAGACAGCAGACAAGTCCTGTACTGAGGACCTCGCTTTCACCAACCACGTTTCACAGTGGTCAGGACTCGCGACCGGGAAGTAACTGTCAGCGGCCAACATGTCAGCAGAGCCAGAGAGGTGTTTCGAGTACACATGTGATGCAGCAACGCTTAGCTTGCCTCTCAGATTCCTCGAACCCATCATCTCGAGGATATTCACAGTAAGTTACGATCTTCAATATAACTGCGGCATGAAACAAGGAACATCAGGACCAGAGAGAACCAAAGGTGCACTAAAATGATTTCCATCTCATACAGAATGGTGGAATGTCCTACACTTTTACATTGCCGCTTTTCGATTTGACGATCGTTCCAGTTCCTTAGAGTGCAGAGAGAAGTATGGAAACAACTCACCTCTTAACCAAAGTTGAAGCCTCCGGATGGGACAGACGGCTGGTTACCACCAAACTGGAATCCGGGCTGATTTTGATCGCCAGTGGAATTCAAATTTTGCTCCTCGTCATCCTCTAGCCAATAGGTCTCAAGGATCTTGACTGCCTTCTCGTAAATTTCGTTATTGTCGTGAGTCTGCAAATTTTCAATTTTCTCAAGACCCTCTGCTTCATCAATGTATCGGGCGTACAGATTAATTCCACCTGTGGTGCCCAGATCCTTCTCCGCCTCACCAACTTTAAGAATGTTCTCGAGTCCCTCGAGAGAAACGGTAACGATACGGGAATCAGTGCAAGTAAGGAGATCACACAGGGGTTTGATACAACCCTGGTTCACAAGGTACCTGCCATCAAAATTGAGAATGTCAGAAACGAGTTTAACCTACGCAGCAAGTGCGAGATAAAGCATCGAAGCGACCATCTCCGAGCGTACTTAATCTGATCGTGTGTGCCACCGGATGTGGCGTTCGAAATGGCCCACGCGGCTTCTTTCTTGATGTCGAACTCGGCGCTCGCAAGCAATTGCACCAGGGGAGGAATTATATTGGCGTCAATGACAGCTTGAATCTGATCCTTGTTACCAGCTGTGATGTTCGAAATAGTCCAGCAGGCCTCTTTCTTGATGCTCTTCTTGTGCGTGTGAGTCAACAGAGTGAGTAGGCAAGGAAGAGCCTGATTGTTGATAATAAACTGCGCGGAACAAGAAGGTAAAATATTAATCTACTGAATGGGTAGAGAACGGAACATAGTGAAGGCACAAAATAAAACTAGCAACAATTATCTCATATTACCTGCGTCTGAAGGTCATCGCCAGTGACAATGTTTCCAACAGTGCGCAGGGCGGGGATGAGCACAGATGGAGAAGGATGCCTGCGGAATCCGATGTAATTTCAGTCACATTATATACAAAAAACCGACCATTAAAAAACTTCAAAGGTACCAGAGTCAAAGGCACTTACAGTAGCAGCTCAACTAGGCGACGGCACACACCGGCCTCTATCACGGCCTGAATTTTGTCATTGGTTCCATCAGACAAGTATGATAGGGCCCAGCAAGCGTCTGTGAGCACTTCCTCGTCCGAAGAATGGATGAGTCTTTGCAGTGCTGGAAGAGCCGGCTTGGACTGCATGCAAAAAGCAGAAGGATTAATTGCTGCGCTCGCAAGGCGACAATGCATTGCTAAACCTCTGAAGAAATCATGATCGTGAAAATACGCGTCTCAGTGAGGTATTCACCTGCTCAAAAAGAGGCTGAGGCTTGCCGCGGCAAAAGTTTGAAAGCGTCCATGTGGCGTTCCTCAGCATGGATAGCTTGGCATTTTCAGTGAGCTGATTCAGTAGGGGCATGAGTGCACCGTGACTCAAAACCAGATCTCTGCACTGAGGAGAGTCTCCCGCAACGTTCCCAAGAGCCCACACCGCCTGTGGGAAGTCAAGAAAAATGTCAGAATGGGGACACCGTTAACGAGGATTTGAAAGGAAACCGCCAATTGGACACAGAAGACAAATTCCTTACCTGCTCACGAACGTCGTCACTTGGTGAACTTAATAACTGCACAAATATAGGTACTGCTCCGTGATCGATCACTACCCGAGTGTGCTCAGACGTTCCAGAGGCAATGTTTGTCAGAGCCCAAGCTGCTTCGAACTGCAAACGGCAGGTGACTTGTGAGAATATATTGTTTGGAGAGCGAAGAGTCAAATCAACTAGTAGTCCATATTCTTGTCTGCAACATGTTCATCGTTAAACAAGATCCTTATAAACCATGAGGGGACCTACACACTGTCCAGCAGAGATTCTTCTTCTCATGAGACGGCAATCGTCCATGCACATAGAGTTAGTCATACCAATACGAGACAAGATCGAGTCGATAGATCCGATAGAATTCTTGAGAAACCTTGAAATTCTGTCGTGTCTCTCGTGAACCACAATAATTACTAGACCTAAATTAGGTCGGATTCGACAGCAACACAATCCACTATCTTAGACAAAGCAGTACAATACATCATAAATACAACTTGGCACAGGTAACTATGTCAAGCCAACAGAGGTGCGATCTGTCCTTATTAACTGGCGGAGATGACAGGCTCGGAGAATGACACTACTTCAAATCATCAAACTCTTTCGCTAAGCGAGTGAAGTCAGCATACAAGGCACTCCACACAAGCCTAGTTGATGTGCGAGCGCATTCAGAACTAACATGACCAATGGTTGCAAACGAGAGAAATGGGGAACCACCCTAATCCCTAGCATGGAGATCGAGGGGTTGCAAAGCAAAATTGCGCATCACATCGTATCTGACAGAACTCCTGGAATAATCGACGTGAACTAGAGGGCCGCTGGACAGTTTCAGTCCAGTTAAGAAAAGGCGGACATTGCCTGCGTTACGCCATAGACAAGCAGTGTCACTCCTGATATCCACTTCCGCAACGTCAAAACAGGAGGAACACTATCCTTGCCCGTTCTCACTACACACACATGGGTGAATTATCTTCTTACTAAACCGCCCCAAACGGAGGAGTAATACTGACAACTGCATGGTGCAGAGTACACAAGGACGGGAGAGGGAGGGAAACAGGATAGAAGGGCCTCGTGGTCACCTGAAGTTGTGGAAAGTCGCTTCTCACAAGAAACTCCACAAACCGGGGCACTACTCCAGCAGCGATAACTTCTTCGATAGGAGGGCTTCTCTCTGTAGACAGAGCAGATATAAATTTCATGAATTCAGAAAGTCAAAAGATAGACCGGTCAACGAACCTCATCAGTGAACATACTAGAGGGAGCATCGGGACTACTGAGAAATGCAATCCTGCTGGGCATGGCACCACAAGCAAGGAAATCTGGAAAGGTGTAAGAGCGTGCATGGAAGAGGACATCAGCAGTTACCTATTGACAGTAATTTCCGAAAGTGCGTGGTAGCTTCTAACTGTGCGGTTCCGTCTTCGGACCATACTCCCGCGACCATTGCTGGCAAACTCTCCAGCTGCTACAATACAGTAAAAAAAAACGTTTAAACGCCCTGGCAGTGAACCATCAATTCTGCAGAACTTTCAGTGCGACTCCTTGGTCTGGCGTGTGAATGGTTGGAGAATCAAGGGGATGTTTAGTACTGAAGACAAGTACTTATGTGCATGTACGATTGATTCAACCAGAGAGTCACGACCGCGGTTAGTACATATATCTCGAATCGTGCGAAATTCAGGCATTCACAAGTCCATTCCTGCGAATCCATATCGAGACTTCGTTTCAAGATCCCAAGCACCACCAGGCTAGTCTAGCTCCCGCGAAAGGTAACAAGAACCATTGGCTTGTCACATGACAGTATGTCAAAGGTCCTGCTTGAGACATCAAGACACATCCCACAAGACGATGAAGCAGCAGGGCATTCCCTGCACCCGAGGGCTTGCATATGCAGAATCTGATCGACTTCATAACCGCTCTCGCCTGGCCGCGGCGAAAGAGGATTGGAGGCACGTTACCGTACAGATAGCTCACCTTCTTCTCAGTGGCAGATGAGTGAACGCTGGAAGCAAACTGCTGCGGCTGCATGCCCTCTCTTCTCTTCTTCAGCAAACTCTCCTCCCGCTTGTTTTTCCGGATCTCAACCATGTTGTCCTCTCTCTTCCTGCGGGCTTCATCGGCATCGACGGCCAGCTTGTAACTTTTCTTCCGGACCTCAGTCCGGGCATTCGGGCGGAGAGACATGGTGAGAAAGTCACTTCCGAAAAGAGGAGACTGGCGATCCCAACCTAGAACGGACCAGAACTGGCAGTTTTTGCTCCTACAACCACCAGATACACCAGCTTAGAGGCTGCCACAGCGCAAGCGAGAACAGGGGAATGAATCGAATAGATCCCCAATCCAACCACGAGCACCACAAGCCAGCTACAAACCTGGACAGAAGCCGACCTGCGAGAGATCTGCGAACACACGGACGGGGCTCGCGGCCCAGAAGCGATGGACGACGAACGCAAGAGAACGAGGGCAGGAAGCGCGGCAGTCCGTCCCGCCCAGGCGAAGGAGGAGCAGAAGCGGAGGGGAGAGGCAGAGATTGAAAAGAGGTCAGAGATCGAGAGAGTCGAGAAGAAGAGAGGGAATCCGAGTGAAAGGCGGAAGGCAACGCGACTGATGAAGGCGAGTGCAGGCGCCAGAGGAGGGACGGGCAGAACGGAGGAGGCAAGGCAGGCCGGAAGCCGGACGCAGCACCGAGAAGAAGAAGCAGCAGCAGCAGCAGCAGCAGCAGGCAGGCAGGCAGGCAGGAAGCAGAGAGCCGGTCCTGGGGAAGAGCAATCTCGCTCTCGCTCGCTTTCTCTCTCTCTCTCTCTCTCTCGCGCTGGCTGGCTTGCTCGCTCGCTCGCTCTCTCTCTCCAGCCCGGACTGCCTTTCCTCTCTTTCTGTGAGCCCGCTCCCGAGCCTGAGCCCCTCGAGGGACGATGGAGGGAAGCGAGGCAGGCGGGAGAGTGGGCCTCCGCGCGCCGTCGATCGAGCTCTGCACGACGGCCACCGTGGATGGCCCGCACCCTTTGCCTGCTGGCTCTACTGGCAGAACCTAACCGGTTTCGCCGGTTCTCCGGACAAACCTTTCCCTCTTTATTTGCTCGCCTGGCCCGCAGTCCATCGTGGCCCTCGCGCGCGCCCATCGACGGCCCAGTCCTCCCCCCGTCCTGCCGCGGCTCGCCCCATTCTGAGGTGTGGCCTAGCTGTAGCGAGCTACTCCTCTGGAGAGGCCGCACATGCCAGCGGGCCTCATTACTTCTCTCGCAAACAAAATTCAAATTTATTCCGGCCTGCTCGGGTCACGGAGCTGCTCCGAGCCCGAGCCCAGCCCTCCGTCCCTCGCGCTGTCAGACGTGACCAGCAGGATGCCGTTGGAATCCATGGCCCCCGTCAGCACATGGGCCTTCCGCCTTGCTTCGGTCCCTCTCTCTCCACACGTTCCGGCCTCCCTTCAGGCTTGGGTGCTCCTTCCTTGCTTCGCATCAGTCGATCGAAGCGAAGAAGTTCTTTTTCCCCTCGAACTATTAAATAATAAATAATTTCTTGTGATATCAACCTGCATCCGATATTCATAATTTCTCATTCTCCCCTAAGCTTTCCGTCGCCTCTACTTTCTTCGCTGTGGGCTCTCCCCATCTTTTGGCTTTCCAGTGACCGGCTCCTTCTACACCTGCGAGTTCCCCTGAGCTCTGGATCGAGAACCATCGCGAGGACCCGCGTGCCTCCCTTGCGTTGCTCGGCTCCACGCAAGAGGACAAATCGACGGCACTCGCGTCGCAACATGTTCGTTGAGCGGAAGGATGTCTACGACTTTCTGAGCTCCGTCTGTGAAAGGCCGACCTGTGTCGACAACCACGTAAACCATCTGCGATTAGGGTTTCCATATTCCCAACAGTCCGATTTTCTACAGGGTCAATGGTGAAACGACGTTAGTCGCGTCATTAGTCTCGCAGCCTTTCCGAGGCCAATTGTATGGTGCACAGATATGATCATTCTTGCTGCTGAGTATGATTTAGCACAACTACTAGAGTTCGCACGCCTGGAGCAATGTTTATTGGCACACACCACTGGCAGCATTATCCGGTGATATTTTACGTCTTAGGCTGCACGTTTTAAAGTACATTCTATTTGAATATATTTGACCTGATATTTAATGCATTCAATCCTCGGCTTCATGACACATACGCATACTGCCCTATGAAGAATAACATATGGATATATAACATAACAGACCATTTTAACTGGAATATATGAAATTCATCTTTTTGAAATAAACCTCACACTATGCTGCAGGACAAATACGTGATGACCAAGCATATGCCATGCTTCAACGTCACGAAACTTTGCAATCATACCTTGTATTAACGGATAGCCTACTTGATGAAAATTCACTTACCGACTATTTATTTTCCAAGTTCAATAATAATTCAAATTCTAGATTAACTTTTTGAAAATATTATAAGGATCATATTTATTAAATTCTGTATTTATTGAATTCATTCATCGTTCATCAACAATAATATTTCAATTTTTAATATGCAGTGTATAGCATTCTTGTATCATTTCATACTTTTGTAAAGTTAAAATTTATAATGGCAATTTTCACATAGTAAATCGAATGAAACCTCGTAGTTCAAAATATTAATATTCATACTATTTAAAAGGCTATGGTTGACATTTGTTAACATATATGATTCCTGACTGTGAAATCAAACATCAACAATTCAATAACAAGTGTTTCACCATTCAAACGATATGAACTATCACTACGCATTGCCTAGCACTTTATTGAAACTCAAACAAAATAAAACATTGTGCTTTTAAGTGAATCATAAATAAGTTCATCCATTTATTATATAATTATTTAAACCTGAAAACTCTTGAAGATTAAAATCTAATATAGTCATTCTCATGAATTTTTCGAATATAAAAAAAAGTTCAAGATATTTGATTTCATATTTTGTAAGTGCAAATCAAAAGTCATAAGCTAAACATTGAGTGAGAAAGAAAAAAATTCAAATCAATTCAAATAAATTTGAATAAATACGAATTATTAACAATAAATATCAAAAATATTAATAACTTTCTAATAGCTATTTACATATCATAATGTTCAAAGGTTAATTTTTTCTCATAAATACACGCATAATATTTATTCAATCAAAAAAAGTTAACAAATATACAACGTACACATTGTATGATTTTGAAAATTTATATTTACAATTTTAATTTAAAGTCTGAAAATAACATATTTTTCCAAGCATAAACTTTCCTAAATAATATGATTATATAATTTTCAAAAGAATTAAATTTTTTGTGACATTTAAATTGCAAGTGTTTGACTTTGAAGTTCATTAGTATGAAATAACTTAGAAGAAATATCTGTATATCTACATAAAGACAATATTTAGATACATCTCATAAAGCAAAAAATACATACAAATGTTCATTTATTGTTGTTGTTGTTCATTTACAAGTGTTTATTTATTTATAATATATTGTATGTTGGAAATAGTAATAATTAAGTATAAAATATATTTATAAAATTAATATACGACAAGAAATAAACAATTATAACTTTGCTTGCAACACTTGCTTGTGATTAATTCCGTTAGAAAATATGAAAAATTTATCTTTAATCTTAATTTTTGAATGGTAGGATATTATAATCTCTTTGATTACATCCAAATGTTCATATATTGCATCTTATTTTCATTTTATGATATTTCATCTTAATATATAGAAAATAATAAAATAACAAAATACCATAATGTGAACATGAATATTTTTTATTTTTAGGAATATAAAATTTTGTACACTTAATTGATATAAATTGTATATAAATTGAAATAATTTGAATAACAAAAAAATCAAAACAAAATCACTTGAACAAAAGTTATAATCTAATAAATCTAGATTCAAATGGAAACAAACAGTCAAATATTATTTGAAAGAATGAAAAATGCATTTGAATGTCAGTAATTGAATAATTTGACTTGAATGATTGATGCAATGATGTTGAAATCTTGATGACTATGCATTTCATCAATTATTATCATATCAATCATGGATAAATTCAAACATTAACATTTTTTTTGGATCACATGAAGAGTATTTGCTAGATTTTTCATAATCTTATTCAAAAAACTTAAAATGTATACCTAATATGAACACTTTCTTTGTTGAACTTGGCACTACAACTTATGTACCTAATCTTATACAAAAAAATGAAGATAGATTTCAATAGGCCATAAATCACATAACATTTGAAATTAAATAATATAAATTATCATACTATCACAAATGACATTTTATAATTGAAAATGTAAATTTTTTTTGAATAAAAATTTGAAATTCGCGATTGAAATTAATTTTACAATCGTAGTAATAAATTCTGATTTTTGTTCAAAGAACTCAGAACAATAAAAAGTACCACATAATGATGCACAATGATATATCTTTAAAAAATGGATTCATATGCAATATACATATATATAAGAAAAAAAAAACAAACTAAATTAAGATGTTTATACAACCTATTGAAATCTGTAAAAGTATTTAGTTATTTAAGTATATAATAATATTTCAATAATCAACCATATATTTATATGTAACTTTTTTTGCTATCCCGTAAATTTGATTCACAAATTGCATGAATTTTTTTTTTCAAAAGCGTAAATATTAACTAAGCCATTGTTGTAGTTTATTACAACTATATAACAATATTCTATGCTTTCAATTTCAGAATAGGTTTAGGATTAATAAAGAAACAAAGAGGTTATAGAGCTTATCAAATTAATATGGATACAATGAATCAATAATCATATTATGAATCTCATAGATTAGCCCATTAAATACACTGACTAAGATATATATTTGTATTTAAAATATCATGAAGATAATATTCCGGATATTTCACTATATCTTTTTTTTTATTGGATCTTTAAGCAAAAAATTCATCTTAATTGTGTTTATTTTAAATTTGGTATTAAAATTTGAAATTTTAATCTAAATGTCAAAACTTGAATTTTTTTTGCCATAGAATCATTTCGTATAATTTATGGAATAAATTACTCTGTAAGCATGTTATATATATAATTATTAAAAATAAAATATTAATTATTTTATCACATCTAAGATTTATAATTTGTTTGAATATGCATTTTAAAAATATGTGTTTAATAAAATTGTTTCATTTCATATATATTTAAATGTCATCAAAAATTTTTTGAAAGTATGAATATTGCTTATAAATATTATGTAATGTATAATTGGATGTTATTTTTTTCTAAATTCAAAAAAAAATTAAAAAAAAAATAAACTTCATTGTATGCAAGAACTACTAATGTTCAACAATCTTATATATATGCATCTATTTTAAATTTATATCATTATTTGAATGTTATATGCTATGTATAAATAATAAAATGATTTTAGTACGATGTTTTAGATGAAATGCAACACATTATTGTTGTCACAATACCTTATACAAGATGCAAATTTTATATGGAAATTTCTTTTAAATGTAAAAAATTCATAATTATAGATCATTTATTATTATTTTTTATTTTGAAAACATACTAATTGTATTCATTTTGCATTTTTTTCAATGAGATCTTTGTTAGATTTGATTTTTTATCAATAAATTAAAATTAAAAAATACAAACTTTTTTAAAAATTTGAAAAAATATATTTAAACTTTATTAGAGATAAGTCAAGTTGGCTATAAGCTATATAATTAGATTTTTGGCTTTGAAATACTTGAAATATCAAAACATAAATCATTTCAAACATGATTTATAGCTTTGTGAGTAAATCATAATAATATCAACAAATCATAATATATCATCGCAGCCAATTATGCAAGCATCATATTTTTTTCATCTTTTCTTGTGCATATACTATGCAA